CAATTTTGGAGCTCTTTTTCTGGGATGGCCATCAGAGCTGTTGTCGTATTACCCTTGATGTCCTGAATGTCATCAAAATGTCTTCATTTCAATAGTTCCTTTGTCTTCAGGTAAAGAAAAAAGTCATTGGAGGCCAGATCAGGTGAGTAGGGAGGGTGGGTCAATACAGTTATTTATTTACTGGCTAAAAACTCCCTCACAGACAGTGCCATGTGAGCTGGTGCATTGTCGTGATGCAAGAGCCACGAATTTTCGGCGAAAAGTTAAGGTCGTCTAACTTTTTTCACACAGCCTTTTCAGCACTTCCAAATAGTAACCTTGGTTAACTGTTTGTCCAGTTGGTACAAATTCATAATGAATAGTCCCTCTGATATCAAAAGAAGTTAGCAACATTGTTGCACATGTTCGCAAACTTAATTGTCTGATCTTGTAGATCAAAATTCCTCAAACAAACATTAGCAAAGTGAATTTAACAATACATTAAAAAAATCATATACCATGATCAAGTGTGATTTATTCTTGGTATGCAAGGTTGGTTCAATATCCACAAATCAATTAACATGATACATCACATAAACAAAATGAAAAATAAAAGTCATATGGTCATATCAATATGTTTAGCAAAAGTGTTGGACAAAATCCAGCATCCATTTATGATAAAAATTCACAGCTAAGGGCCGGCCGAGTGGCTCAGTTGGTTAAGAGCTTGCTCAAGAGTGTGAGCTCTGAGCAACAGCTGTTCAAGTCCCGGCTGGAGCTGTGCTGCTGCTGAGCTGCCAACAGATGACAGAACAGCTCAGTTAAAAAAATTTTTCATGGACTCTGAAAAACTGAATGAACAAGGAAAATAAACAGAAGTGGTTTCAGAGATATAGAGGAACAACTGATGGCAGTTAGTTCGGAAGGGGTGGGAATAAGGGAGAAGGGGAAGGGGTTAGACAGCATAAATATGTAACTACAATATTGCCACAGGGAAATGAAAGACAGTTCGAGGATTATAATTAATAATGTTGTAAATATTTTGTAGGGTGTCAGGTGGTCACATGTCTTGCTAGGGAGACTGCATCACGGATGGGGAAGAGGCTTGATCACTGCACTGTACACATGAAGCTGATGTTGTATAATATTGTATGTCAAATATAAGTGAATATATATATATATATATATATATATATATATATATATAGTCATGGGACATGGAGTATAGTGTGGGAGTGGAGTCAAGGGAATTGTAATAGATATGTATGATATTGGGGGGAAGTGGGGTGGCGGATTGGGGGAGGGAGGTTGTCACTTTGAGGGGTAAAAAGTATAATTATTGCACTGTGTTGTACAGCTGAAACTAATTCTAAAAAATGTGTATTTCATAATAAAAAATAATTAAAAGAAAAAAATTTCACAGCTAAGTGAGAATAAAGAGAAAAAAAACCTCAACATAATAAAGGTCATACATGACATACCCACAGCTAACATCATACTCAATGGGGAAAAGCTAAAAGCATTCTCCTTAAGATCAGGAACAAGACAATAATGCCACTTTCTCCACTTTTATTCAAGATAGTATTGGAAGTTCTAGCCACAGCAATTAGACAAGAAGAAGAAATAAAAGACATCCAAATTGAAAAGGAAGAAGTAAAACTGTCATTATTTGCAGATGACATAATGCTATCTATTGAGAATCCCAAAGATCCCACCAAAAAATTATCAGAGCTGATATATGAATTTAGTAAAGTAGCAGGGTACAATATTAATATTTAGAAATTGATTGCATTATTATGTACCAATAACAAACTATCAGAAAAAGAAATTAGAAAAACAATTCCATTTAAAATTGTGTAAAAAAAATCCCTAGGAATAAATTTAACTAAGGAAGTATAAGACCTGTATTCAGAAAATTGTAAAACAGTGAAAACAGAAATTAGAGAAGATACAACAAAATGGAAGCATATATCCTGCTCATGGATAAGAGGAATTAATATAGTTAATATGTTTATACAACCCAAAGCAATATATAGATTCAATGCAATTGCTATCCAAATAACAATGATATTTTTCACAGAACTAGAACAAATAATCTTAAAATTTGTATGGAACCATAAAAGATCCTGAATAACCATAGCAATTTTGAGAAAGAAAAACAAAATTGGAGATATTCCACTACCTCATATCAAACTACACTACAAGTTAATAGTAATCAGAACAGTGTGGTATTGGCATAAAAACAAACACATAGTTCAATGGAACAGAATAGAATATCCAGAAATAGATCCATGCCTATAAAGTCATTTGCTCTATCACAAAAGAAGCAAAAATATTCATTGGGGTAAAAATAATCTATTCAATAAATAGTCATGGAAAAATGGACAGATACATGCAAAAAAATGAAACTAGACCACCTTCTTAAACCATATACTCAAAATGGATTAAAGAGTTAAATGTAAGACTCAAAACCATGCAACTAGTAGAAAATACAGGCAGTAAACTCTCTGACATTGCTGCTAGTGATTTTTTTTTCCTAATCTATCTCCTTGGGCAAATGAAACAAACAAACAAACAAACAAACAAACAAAATAAACAAATGAGACTGCATCAAACTAAACAGTTGTTGCACAGCAAAGGAAACCGTCAACAAAATGAAAATACATCCTACTGAATGGGAGAAGATATTTACCAATGATACATCTAATAAAGGGTTAATATCCAAAAAATATTTTATAAAACTCATACAAAACAACAAAAATACAATTAACAAATGGGCAGAGGACCTGAATAGACATTTCTCTAAAGAGGACATACAGATGGCCAATAGACATATGAAAAGGGCTCAACGTACCTAATCATCAGAGAAATGCAAATTAAAACAATGAGATACCACCTCACTTCTGTCATAATGGCTATCATCAATAAATCAACAAAAAACAGGTAATGGTGAGGATGTGGAGAAAAGGAAACTCTTGTACAGTGTTGGTGGGATTGCAAATTTGTGCGGCCACTATGGAAAGCATTATGGAGGTTCCTCAAAAAATTAAAAATAGAACTACCTTATGACCTAGCAATTTTACTCCTGGGTAATTAGCCAAAGAAATCCAAAATACTAATTTGTAAAGACATACACACCCCTATATTCACCGCAGCACTATTTACAATAGCAGAGATATAGAAACAACCAAATGCCCATCAATTGACAATTGGATATAGAAGATGTGCTACATAGATACGGGGTATACTCTGTCATAAAAAGAATGAAATCTTACCATTTGCAACAACATGGATGGACCTAGAGGTTATTATGCCAAGTGAAATAAGTAGACTGAGAAAGACAAATACCATATGATCTCACCTATGTGTGGAATCTAAAAAACAAAATAAACAAAGAAACATAACAAAAACAGATGCATAGATATAGAGAACAAACTGATGGGTACTAGATAGAAGAGGTGTTGGGGGGCTGGGTGAAAAAGGTGAAGGAATTAAGCAGTACAATTTGGTAGTTACTAAATAGCCATGGATATGTAAAGTACAGCATAGGGAATACAGTCAATGATATTGTAATAACTATGTACAGTGTCAAGTAGGTAGTAGACTTATTAGGGTTGTCGTTTTGTGTGATATATAAATGTCTAATTAGTATGTTGTTTTGTAAACCTGAAGCTAATTAAAAAGAAAAAAAAAGACATGATTGAAATCTTATTTTAAATTCTACATTTAAATAGTTGTAACCCTGTTTTAAATTTTACATAATTTTCAAAATGTTTTAATCAACTTATATTCTTATCAATTGTCAAAATCAGAAAAAGAAATATGGTGTATCATTACCTTCCACTTGATCATCAATTTTCTTATCCTTATCAACCTAATTTATCATCACGCAGTATGATTTTATCATGATTGTTTCTTAAAGATCTATTTTAATAAGAGGATTTAAAATTTTTTTGCATTTGGTTAGTGAACCTATTTATCAAAGTCACAGTGAACTCTACATATGCTCATGTGTAGTCCTACATTTCTTCATTTTTACTTATATCTTGTTTCTGTGGTGCATGTTTTGGGGTTTTTTTTTAGAAAGGTACATGGGTGGTATGTTTCTGCTTCTGAATTTCTTTATATCTTGAGATATTGTATCTTCTGTTGCTTTTACATGTGAATAACTGGGTAAGTTAGAGAGTTTTTATTTTTAAAATATTTTGCTCTCCCAAATGCTGTTTATTGTGTATTTGCATTTGATATTGCAAAAGAAAATCTGAGTTTATCCAGACTATTGTTCTTTTGTCTTACCTATATTTTTAATCTGGTACTCGCACAATTCTTTTGTGTATTGATGATAATTTAAAATTTAGTTTATATTCAGGTCTAGGATTTTTATTCTTTTTAAAATTGTTTTTATGCCAAGAGTCCTTTAGCTTTGTTGACTCATGGGTTACTTCATCTCAGTAAGGATTTCTTCTATACTGTTTGTGATTTTTGTTTTGTATCCTTTTTGGTTCAAGTCTCCTCCCCACCATACCAAAGAACACATACACTTTTGAGATTGGAGCTTCTTTACCTGTACTACATAGTTTTCATTTTTCCCCTCATCCATCTCATTGTCATTTTTTTCTAGAGTTTGATAGTTTTCTCAGGGTTATACTTTATTTGACATCTCTTGCATCAATCGTTCATTTTCTGTAGTATCTTTTCTCTCGTTTTAGTCTCCAAAACTGATTTTTAATTTGTATTTGAATTTGAAGTTTTATTGCATTTTTGTTGTTTCTCACTATCCTTTTTTGCATTCCTACCTTCATCAATTTTTTCTCTTTTTATTTCCTTTGTCAATTTTATGACATTACCTAGGAAACACCTTCTAAATTTTGAAAATATTTTTATTGGTAGAAAGTCATTTCATAGACATGCTCTTTAGTTTCTAACAAAAATAAATGTCCTCTCTTTAATTAAATTATATTTTTGGCATTCCCATTTTTGCGTTTGGATTGTTTGTTTGTTTTTTGTTGTTGTTGTTTTCCGGTTTTTTCCTTTTATTTTGATATGTTTTACACATTCAATTTGTTTGAAGAACAGCTTCCTATGTTTAAAATGTTTAAAAGAAGGAATCCTGGACCAAATGATTTCTGGAATGCAAACACCCGACAGGTCCACAGTTCACTTGGAATGGCTTTTGCTGCCTCCCACCTGGCAGGGCTCCCACAGGCCTTGGAGAACACACACAGGGAAAGGAGGAGGGAGGGGCGAGGATCCAGCAGCTTCTGGATGCCCTGGGCTTTCCTCTGCACACACCAGGAAGAGCAGGCTCACGGCAGGGCGGCCTCGCAGCGAGGCGCCCTCTCCGTCAAGGCCTGCAGGGACTGGCCCCACGCCTGCGCCTTCAGGAGCCGTGGATCTCCACCCCGGGCCCCTGGTGCAGGATGTGCTTCAGCAGCCCGTTGACCACGTCCAGAGTCTCGTCCTTCTCCAGCACAATGTCATAGGCGTCCATGTAGCTCTCACGCTGCTCCTCCACCTTGTCATTTAGGAAGCCAATCTTGAGAATGTTCTCCACACCCGGAACCCCATCGGCCATCGTGAGATCCCCCATGGTGTCTCCCAGCAGGATGATGTTGGTTCTGCCCTTAAGCTGCTGGAAGTAGCCGGAGTTCTCGAACATGGAGCTGTTCTTGTTGTATGTGTGTATGAGCTGGCCCTTGAATCCCTGAAGGAAGCCATCTTTGTCAAAATCCATGTAGTTTGACACAATGTGGATATTGGGGTGGAATACTTTCATCTGTCGGATAATTTCTTCCAGGATATCACCAATGCCCGCGGAAAAGATGAGAAGGGGAATGTTGTTTTGGTCGAGGGTGTTGAAGAACGTCTTGTATCCCTCCCTAAGCATTGCATTGGGCTCTCTAACCACCTCGGCTATCTGAAACTTCTGAATTTTCTGCTGACACAGGCAATCGTGCGCTTTGGTCCACCATTTGACCATATGGGGTAACTTCTCTTCAATGGTCCGGTGTGGGTCAATCTCAATTGGGTAATAATGGTGAAGGAGCGCTTTCAGCTCTTTCCGGCACTCCTCACTGATGACCTTGCTGTTATCCAGAATATTGTAGGAAGAAGGGCATCGCTTTCCATTATATGGAAACCTGCTCAAGGTCATGTCAAAATCAGAAATGACCTGTAAACGGTCTCCCCCGCCTCTGCGGAGGGCGCTTACGATCTCCAGCACCCGCCCGGGCTGCCGCATCCAGATCGTGGCCTTCTTCAGGATGCTCACCTGTCCCAAAACCTGAGAGAACGGCTGACTCTGGCACCGCCGCTGAGCTCAAGGGGAGCCCGGGGCTTGCTCGGGCAACCCTGAGAGGCCGGGTCGGGGGCACAGGGGACGGAGCGGGGGCTCCGGCCGGGCCAGGAGCATCTACTAGCCAGTGTGGCACAGCCGGGCCGAGATGGCCCACTGGGGGTCTCGGAGAGCCCGGGGGATCGAGGACCGCGCCACTCCTGATGCTTCCATACGCCTCACCTCTTCCGCCATGGTGTTCCTGGATTGTTTGTTTTATAAATTTTCAAGTGGCCAGAGAGTTACGCATGTTCAGAAGGCATTGGGATAGTGGGACGTTCTTAGCTTCCTCATTGGTTCACTTGAGTCATTTCCCACACTGGAATAAAGATCTGAAAGTTAGTTGTGGGCAACTCCATTTAATTTTCAGTTCCTTCTAGGCAATCTGGATCTGCAGGATTATGGTTAAGTACATGTATACTGCCTTTGACAGTTTAGGTTATGTAACTAAATTAGAGACTCCGTTTGCAGTTTTTTGAACATCATATTTTATTTAAATCTGTATTCCTACTGCAGTATTCACTGCTTCCATAGCTTGTCCTGGCTCCTCTTTAGTTTATAAAGCCTTCACTATGGATGAGTAAGCATTCCAGAAGACAATACATCTATTCCTAGCCCTCTATTCTCTGTCAGTCTATTTTGTGAGACAGAGAACTGAGGGTTGCACAGAGAAACATGAGAGGAGGTGGGCAGTCACAAGACTGCTAGCTCAGAGGATAGTTAACACATAGTAGAATGATGATCCCTGGTGTGTTTAGGTTAGTGCCCCAGAATTACTTGCAGAAAACAGAGTGGAGGGCTCAAAATTCTACCTACCTTACTTTGTGTCATATGATGTCGTGATCTATGCTAGATTCTAGAGGATGGAGCATGTGATATATAGTCCAAGAATGTATTTCTCAGCCCTTCATATAAAAGATGTAATTGTTAGAGTTCTGCCCAGGTTTTGGCCAATGTGGTCTTGTCTCTTTTGTTTCTCATAATACCATCACTTTGAGTCCCCATTTCTCTATCCTTTTCTGTATTCATACCCTTTACATTGTGAACTCCCCGTTTCTCCAATCAAGAGGTAGAATCTATTTCCCCATCCTTTGTATCTCAGTTAGTCTTGTGATGGGCTATGGTCAATGGAATATGGTGTGACGAGGCCCGCTCGTCTGTCATGGCCACCTGGCTTGTCAGCCAGGCATCTAGAGGGTTAACCTGAGTGGACTGGATGAGGAGATTAGAAAAGAAACACACAGAGATGAAAGTTGGGCCCAGGAGGTCCACTGCCCGCTGATGGCGGAGAGTGGCACCATTTATTGCTTGTACACAGCTTTCATAGCAAAAGTAGTTTTCCTTAGGTAAGGAGTTTGGGAAGCTTGAGGGAGTGGGGAAGCAAATGTTCCCGAAGTGAGACAAAGTATAGCAAGTAGAAACTGCTAACATGCTGGCAGTTCATTTTGTAACTTTCAAGGTTGTCTGTGACATAGGCTTGTTCTTTCTTCAGTGGCACAGTGGAGAATGAGATCTATCTAGCAACTTTCCCATGCTGCTCACCTGGGCCTGAGATCCTATCAGCTTCCAGATGCCAGGCTTAACCGTTACTACAGACCTCCGGCTCTCCACATCTCCCTGTTTTTTATTTATTACTTAAAGGGAGACCTCTGATTTACTGAGGCTGCGGTTCGCCCCCCGGTGGTTGTGTCTGGCTTAGGTTGTCCCTCTCGAGGAATGGAATCTTACCCATTATGGGCTAACCAGCCATCTCACAACTGTGCCTGGCTTAGGTTGTTCCTTCCTGGGGGATCTTACCCGTCATTGACTATCCAGCCATTTTATAGCTGGCCCCTGCGACTGTGCCTGGCTTGGGTCATCCCTTTCCCAGGGAACTTACCTTTCTTTGGCTAACCAGCCATTCTGCGGGGCCAAGCCTCGTGGGGCCAAAACTGGGGGTGAAGGTGGAGTATAACTACCGGACACAAAGGATATTAACTAGAGGGTGAGCAACATGGAAACAATTAGTGCAGGAGTCGATAATTGTCGACCCCCATCCACAGCCATGGGTGATGAGCTCCTTCATTGAGAGCCTGATGACAGGCTTTGATGACTGTTTCATGGACTGAAAATAAGCACAAGACTAGTAGCAAGAGAATCATAATTTTTTAGCAGGATCCAAGATTTTGAGGTGTAATATTACTTTTTGTGCCAAATCTTTTGGACCAATAAGTCCCAAAGCTGAAATCTATACTCTGCCAAGTGCCCTGAAGGTGATTGCTATTTATTTCTATTATGTATTGTTTATTTCATTATATGATACCTGTAGGTAAGTCGGTGGCGTATGATCTCAACCTTAACTCCTATTTTTTCAACTATGATCTTTAAGACATTGATTTTTAATTTCCTTTTTGTATCCGCCTCTTTTGGATATGAATATGAAATGTTAAAGACTTATTTTAGAGCTTTTTATAGTATTAGTAAAGAGAGACTTCTGTGGTGACTGTAGTAGCAATGATTTTAAGCTATGAATGATGTAACTGTTACAAAGCCTTAAACTATTATTATGAATCCTAACCTATATTTTATTTCTTATTTTTCCATGAGGCCTTGTATCCCCAGACCTTTAGTCCTGGGTCCCTCAATAGTGATTGACAGAGGACTAGAATGCTATGTCCTCTACATTTGGTAAAACTGCCAATTGTGATAAGAACCCTTATATTTAAAATTTTCCTATGACTCTGAAATTGCCAATTAAGATGATATTAGAGACATACTTACCTGTTGTGAGTATGTCTTTCTTTCCCTTGTCCTGTGTTCGTGGGAAAAGACATAGACATTCCTCCTCCACACAAGGACCAAATCTTGTCCTTGTTAGATAAAATTGTCCATTATAAAGACGTTGTAAAGAATTTAAAAACTGTGAAAATTTGAAATTTTAAAATTTGAAAAATGGGTTAGTTAAGGTTGGTATTCTTGGCACCCAAGGAATACCTATAGTCTCCCCCTTTTTGTCTTATTAATTGAAATGTTAGGGATTGACGGGTACATGTTTTATGTTAGTATAGCCAAGTCTCTATGATTGAATATAAGAAAATGATTAAATAACTTATAGTGGTGAATTTTGGAGTGAGAAATTTTTAATGTCCATGATGTTGAGAATAATTTTGTGGAGTTCTTCTGGAAGGACGGCAGGTGTCCCCCTCGCCAATGAGACAACTCTGTATAATGTGTTGTTAGGTTCTTACTCGTTAATAAAGACCTAAGAGACAGAGATTTCATTCCAAAGTCTTTATTGAGCCAGGCCTGGCATCCGTCTCACTCTGCAAGACAACGACCCTGGGCCTTGGCCGGTGAGAGTTTGTATATGCTTTACCTATTTCCGGGAGCTTAAGCAGGAGCAGGTTTACAGAATAAACTGTTATTGCAAACAGGTTTACAGAATCGAGAATAAACCGTTATTGCCAACAGGTTTACAGAAGCGAGAATAGACCGTTATTGCAAAACAAGCAGTTATTGTTGGCACCTGACTGCATCCATTGCAGGTGTTGCTTGGCTGGAGCATGACTCCTTCCTTGAAACAGGTTTTGAACAGAAACTTTTGTAACGGGGACAGGAAGCCCCTGGTCTGGCCCCAGGGACAAAGGAGGTCCTGAATAGTTTCCTGGAACCTTATTCTAATTTGGTTCTTGCAACAGTATCCCTGAGGACAGGTCCTTACAGTGTAACTGACCCCTAAAGTAAAAGAAATACTTACAGTTGATTATGTTTATTTTTAAGCACACCTAAAGTTAATTAAAGTTACTTACTTAAAAATACCTAGTTAAACAAAGATCATGAACCTTAAAATTGACCATCTTATACTTAACATTGCCTAATGTTAACTAAACTTAACACTGTAATTAAAAATACCTAAAATCAAGTATACTTGACCTTATTTTTATACTTAACCTTATACCTAAAAATGTCTAAGATTAATTAATAAAAATATCTTATATACTTAACCTTATACTTAAAAACACCTAAAATGAATTATACTTAACCTTATACTTAAAAATACCTAAAAGTTAATACTTAACCTTACATTGAAAATTACTTAAAATTAAGATACTGGGTGGTTTTTGTAAAAAATTTTATACCATTAATATCTCCTAGGAGTTTGGAATATTTATTAAAAGATTTAAGATGGCCCATCTAATTGAAATCTTTTGTTACTGAATTTAAAGCAAAGTTGGTGGAACCCCCATTATTTGGTGATGCCGGGTTGTCTGCCCACAAGAGCAGTAACCTCTCTTTTTGCTGTTTCAGTTTCTCTTTTGTTGGAGCTCTGTCTGGGAGGAATACTTTTTATAACCTTGAAAAGCATAGGCTTTTGTAATGTAATATATGATATATTGATCGATCTTAATTTATCCCTTAATGTCTCTGTGATAAGAAACCAGAAATAGACAAATTTAGACCTACTTAATAATTGATATTTTAGTATTTTGTTATTTTTAAATACCTATTAAAATATTTAATAACTTTTATTATTTAATATAACTTGGTAAAACTAAGAAATCAGCCTTAGTTAAATTTATTTATTTATTTATTTATTTATTTATTTGTATTATGTGATCCTGAGTAGTTGAGTTAATTTTTATTATCTTAATTAATAGTGTTTAATCTTTTATTTTTATCTAATCAAATACTATAAATTGATAATACCATCCGGAGGCAAAAATATTATAATACATATAAAACATAGACAAGTATAGACCTCAGAGACTATATATATAAACAGAATTAGTAACAATTGTAGAGAGGATAAGATCTTATACTTGTCCTTAGAACTTTAGGAAGCTGTAATAAGGATTGGGGAGTGGCCTGCTGCCTGGATTTAAAAGTGTCTCTTTTTTTCTCTTTAGTTACCTCAGCCTTAAGCAGAGGCTGTTTACATTTAAGGCTCTCTGTAAGACCTTGAAAGTTACTGAAAGTTAGAGAAATCTTTTAAGACTTATTTTTGTTAAGTTGCTGAATACAGAGGAGTAAGTGTAGTTGCCAAAGAGCTATTCAAGGGGTCCCGGCGCCCCTGAGGTGTATAATTGCAGCTTCCAGGGTAAGTAATTCCCCTCTCTGCCATCCTGGGGTAGCGTCTTCTTATACCCCTCAGTTGGCATGAAGCTTCTGAACTGGTGGTGAGACTGTTGTGCACCAGTTCCCAAAGTGAAAGTACTTTGTTTGGAGGCTTTTCCATCTCCACCAGCGCCTGACGCTCTCTGAGCTGTCTTTTAACCCTTTCCCAGACCTCTGAGTCAAGGGTGCCTTCCTTGGAGAACCAAGGGCAGGTGTCCTTTACATATGCAAGAAATTTCTCTAGCTGATGCATAGTGACGCCACTGCCATGGGCGCAAAGCATAGTTGTAAGCATTTGCGTGAAAAGCTGACAGTCCTTTAATTTTGACTGACCCATGTTTTACTCCTGATAGCCTTGCTCCCTTACCTCCTTTTTGTAATGGTGGCCGCCTTGTCTGAAGGGAGTCTCCTCACTTAACTTTTCCTTCAGTCCGTCCTCGGGCCCCACGTTGGGCGCCACTTGATGAGGCCCGCTCGTCTGTCGTGGCCACCTGGCTCGTCAGCCAGGCACCTAGAGGATTAACCTGAGTGGACTGGATGAGGAAATTAGAAAGAAAAGACACAGAGATGAAAGTTGGGCTCAGGAGGTTCACTGCCCGCTGATGGCAGAGAGTGGCACTGTTTATTGCTTGTACACAGCTTTTACAGCAAAAGTAGTTTTCCTTAGGTAAGGAGTTTGGGGAGCTTGAGGGAGTGGGGAAGCAAATGTTCCCAAAGCGAGACAAAGTATAGCAAGTAGAAACTGCTAACAGGCTGGCAGTTCATTTTGTAACTTTCAAGGTTGTCTGTGACATAGGCTTGTTCTTTCTTCAGCAGCACAGTGGAGAATGAGATCTATCTAGCAACATTCCCACGCTGCTCACCTGGGCCTGAGATCCTGTCAGCTTGCCAGCTGCCAGGCTTAACCCTTACTACAGACCTCCGGCTCTCCACAATGGTGGAAGTGACAATGTGCCAGTACTGAGCCTAGACCTCAGAGGCCTTGTAGAGTCATGCTCTTTCTCTTGAGCCCCAGCTGCTACCATGAGAACAAGCCTGGACTAGCTTGCTGGAGGATGAGTGATGACAGGGAAGAGAGCCAAGTCATCCCAGATGAGGTTGTCACAGATCAGCCAGTTCCCTGGAAACCTGCCAACTGCCTATAAGGATGAACCCAGCTGAGATCAGCTTCATCTGTCGCAGACCAGCAACTTATAAACTCATGAGAAATAATACATGGTTGTTATTTTAATCAACTAAATTTTGGGATGGTTTGTCATGCAGCATTAACTAACTGATGCAGCTGCAGTTAAGCACATGAGCTGTTTAAAGTTCCATGAAAAAAGTGACAAGTTGCACTTCAGATAAGTTGGAATGATTTATTTTCTCACCAGCAGAAATGCACTACACCTTAACTAGTGTTTCTAAATGTGGGGTTTTTTTGGGGGGGTGTAGCAACTTAATTAGTGAAAAATCATTTCTCAAGTTAATTTTCACTTATTTGATTCATAGGGTTATTTAAAAGTTTTTCATGAATTATGCATTCATTGTTAATTTTAAATCATCTGTCAAAGTTTTTGAGTGTCTTTTGTCCCACTTTTCTTTTGTATAAATTGTTTTCTTAAAATCTCTTTGAGGGCTGGCCAAGTGGCGCATTGGTTAAGAGTTGGCTTGGGACACAGGCTCTGAGCAGCAGGGCCCCTGTTCAGATCCCACATTAGGGCCAATGACACTGTGCCCTCTACAGCTAAGATGGTGAACAACAGCTCAACCTGGAGCTGGGCTGTCGTGAGTCACCGGTGACGGTGTAGGCTGCAGTGAGGCTGCAGTGGGCTGCTGTAAAGTTACCAGGAGTGGCCGGCAGCCAGCATGAGCTGCCTAGAGCCACCGTGAGCAACTGTCCAGTGGCCTATGGCCGATTTGCCTCACCCAGTAAGAGCACAATGATAATACTAACATGGAACAGTGAAGTGACATGCTCCACAACTAGACTGAAGAACAAAAGGACAGCAACTTGTCTGTTTCCCTTCTCCAATTCCCCAGCGCTGTTCCCCTCCCCCAGTTCCCCAATAAAATCTTTTAAAAAATAAAAAAATAAAAATAAAATCTCTTTGAAAAGCCTCTTTAATGTTTTGAATATCTAACTTTTGTCCAAACACTTTTAAACTTAGTCATGCATTATAGCATGTTGGAATCCTCAAGTGGATTTATAGAAAGAATACTACTGATGGCACAAACTAAGGAATATTGGATGCTACTACCATGTACAATGTTATGAACTTCACATTTGTTATCCCATTTAAACCGCAATAATTTTTAAGGTAAATAATATTAATGTTAATAAATCAACTCTATACAGAAGAAAATTGAACTGAAATATATTTTAAAGAACACAGAACAAGTTAATGGTAGAACCACTTCTTTTTGTTTTTTTGTTTTTTAAAGATTTTATTGGGGAATTGGGGGAGGGAAGAACATTGGGGAATTGGGGAAGGGGAACAGACAAGTTGCTGTCCTTTTGTTCTTCAGTCTAGTTGTGGAGGACGTTGCTTCACTGGCCCATGTTGGTATTATTGTGCTCTTCCCGGGTGAGGCAATCGGTCGCTGGCCACTGGATTGTGGCTCACGGCAGCTCACGAAAGCTCATGCTAGCTGCCGGCCAGCCCCATTGCAGCCTATGCCATCGCCAGTGACTCACGGCAGCCAAGCTCCAGGTTGAGCTGTTGTTCACCATCTTAGCTGTAGAGGGCTCAGCATCACTGGCCCTCATGCAGGATCCGAACTGCCGCATGATGCTCAGAGCCGGCACTCCCAAGCCAACTTTTAACCAACGCGCCACATGGCCAGCCCTGAACCATGTTTTTAAACCCAGGCTATTGACTTGAGTTTATGCTCTAACACAGCGGTTCTGAACCTTCCTAATGCTGCAACCCCGTAATACAGTTAGTTCCTCATGTTGTGGTGACCCCCAACCATAAAATTATTTTCGTTGCTACTCTATAACTGTAATTTTGCTACTGTTATGAATCGTAATGTAAATATCTTTTCGTTTTCCGATGGTCTTAGGCGACCCCTGTGAAAGGGTCATTGTACCCCCAAAGGGGTAGCGACCCACAGGTTGAGAACTGCTGCTCTAACAGTTATCCTCTACTGCTTGTCCTAAATGATGGCTTTGCGTTTCTGTGGAAAGGGAACAGTGATATTTGTTTCTTTTTGCTTTTGTTTTTTTCTATCTGGCTGTATTTCAATGCCGAAATTTGTCTTTGATTAGTGAAAAAATTATTCTGGAGTGTCATTAATTGTTGATAAATATTCATAGTTCATAATGGTCTGCCACTTTGTCTTATGCTCTTTAAAGTACTTTGATGGAAAAGTGGGTGAAGGTAAATCAGCCAGCTGCTATCCTAAGCTGACACTTCTGTTATCAATATATCTTAATAATCGAAAATTATTATAAATTTTCAGTCATACAGTAAATTTTGCTTTGCTATACATTTAAATGACAAATCTTGTTGTTTTACTTCCTGGCTTTAAAAATCTTCATGGTTCTCTATTACTTATAGAAATAATTCTAAAATATGGAGCAGGGCATGTTTGGCTCATCATAATCTGTCCCAAACCTTTCTTTCTAGTTATGCCTAATGCCCTTCTCTCTTTGCTCCAGATAAAATGAACTCTTTAGCATTTCCCAAGTACACTCTATTCATTCAGTCTTCTGTTCTTTCATGTATGCTGTTCTTCCTCTTCAGGATGCATTCTACTTTGGGCTGCTCAACAAACTCTTGTTGTTCCTTTAAAGTCCTATTAGTGGAGGCTTCTCTAGCTTCCCCAGGCATAATTAGCACACTCACTCCTGTCACACTGTCAACTCACCTTTATCTTAGCACTTACATCATATTGTACTTATATATTTAATTTGAGCACAAGTTTACATGTCCTTTAAGTTTTATCAATCTTTATACTGAAGTTCAATAAATAATAAATTATTGAATTAATCAATAGAATTAAAATACATGCAAGGAATGGAAAAGATAGCTAGTTAGAAAATACAAAAAAATTAAACAAAATGAATACAGATTTTAAAATGAAGAAATAAAACTCTATTAACAGACATAAATGTCTACATTGAGAATTCCAATAAATCTACACAAAAGCTTCTAGAGCTAATAAATGAGTTTAGCAAGATCATAGGCTACTAAACAAATATGTATAAAGGAAACCTTCATTTTTTCGCCCTCTATTCTAGCATTGACCAAGTTTGTATTAATCATGTTTTTTATTTTCTGTATTTTAACATGTTTTGACATCTTAAGGGCCTTGATGTTTGAAGGAGATTTCCCGTCCCAGGGTTAGCTAATTCCAGAGATAGCAAACAACTTTCCTATGAGCACAGCTTTCATATACAAACCACTAATCCTGGGTCCATACCCATAATGCTTCCTTGATCTAACTCTCACACACCAAGCTAGTATTGCTTCTCCTCTAATTCACCCCAAGGCCAAGTACAGAATAACTCTAGACCACCCTAACCCAGAGCCCACTACGGTTATTCAAACTATCTGTTCCTTAATTTGTTCACATTTACCTGTCCCATCCCCCCAGTTCCTTCCTGTAAAGAACAAAATAGAAGCTCTGGGACATGTTCTCCCTTTGCCCCTTCCACTTGCTGACTAAGCCAGGTGCTTCTCCATGTGGCATGTTGTGGCATGTCATACTTTCTGTTTCTAGGGGTTTCTGAATTTCTTCCTTCATGACAATCATTTCTGTGTTGTGTGCCTGTATGTCCATTACCGATTAAAACAAATCCAAGACCATTTTAGTAAAAGTGAAATTCCAAATTAAAATCAATACCTTTTACAGCAGTACCCCCAAAATGAAATTTTTCAGTACATATTTTACAGAATATGTGTAGAACCTGTATGCTAAAAACCATAAATATTGATGAACTAAATAAAATAGAACTTAAATAAATGCAAAGATATAATAAGATAATGGTTGGAACACTGTAAGAAATAGAAAGACTGTTAAATGCCAGTTCTTCTGAAATTGATTTATAAATTTAGCACAATTGCAATCAAGGCCTTAGCAGAAACTTTTTATAGATATTGATAAACTAATTTTAAATTTATATGGAAAAGCAAAATAATGAGAATAGCCCAAATAATTTTGAGAAAAAAAAAACAAAGTTGAAGGACTCTACCTGATTTTAAGACTTAATATAAATATATTAAACAGTGTAGTACTGGCAAAAAGATCGACAAACAGATCATTAGTACAGAATAGAGAATCCAAAAAGAGACCCATATGGCCAATTTATTTTAGAAAATTTGCAAAGGCAATTCAATCGTCTTTTCAATATACAGTGCTAGAATAATTGAACACTCACATGCAAAAACAAACAAAACCCACAATCCGTACCTCACAGCTAAAAAATAATAATAATTCCAAATGAACCAAAGACCTAAGTGTGAGATGTAAAACTATACAAGTTGGGAAAAAAAGAAAAACCAAAACGAAACATAAGCCAAACTATTTGTAACCTTCGATTAGTGAAACAGTTCTTAGACATGATACTAAAAGCATGATTCATAAAATAAAATTAATAAAAATGAACTCTATCAATCTTAGAAACTTTGCTCTGTGAAAGAAACTAAAAAGAGAATGAAAAGTTAAGCCATAGACTTGGGGGGAGGGGGCAGATATTTACAAGTCACATGAAGACAAGAAGACAAAGAACTTCTATCTAGAACATATAAAATACTCTCAAAACTCAACAATATTAAAAGGAACAACCCATTTAAAAATATACAAAAGCTTTGAACAGATACTTCATTAAAAATGGAAAATAAGCACATGAAAAGATGCTCACCCTTACTAATCATTAGGAAAATGCAAATTATAACCACACAATAAGACACTGCTACACACCTATGCATTTGTCTGCATCTCAATCAGACTGAATTTTTCTTGACTCTACTGTACACCTCTCTGCCTATCTTCTGACCTCGCCACATTAATCTAGGAAGCTCCTCCTTCACTTCCTTCATCTGCCAACTCCTACTGATCCTTTAAAACTCAACTTGGGTACTATCAATTCCAAAAGTCTGCCCTTGGACTCCCACCCTCACTCCCTCCACCTGGGTCTGAATTAGTGGCTTTTATAATGTGTGATGATGGGCTTGCCATTTTTACCTACCATCTCATCCATCAAATATATAGTGCTAACTTGTTTATTAGAAGTTTTAGTACTCTCAGCTTTGATTCCCACAAAGTCAGAGACTTTGTCTTCTTCAAGCTTATATCCCCAGAAAACAGCACATTAAAAAAATTGTTGAGTGAGTGAATAAATTCATATAGAAAAGTCGTATGCTCTTTCAAGCACAGCATCTGCTTGAGGTATACTCACTCTTCAAAATTAAAATCACTTGGGGCTGGCCAAGGGGCTCAGTTGGTTAAGAGCGTGAGCTCTGAGCAACAGCGTTGCCAGTTCAATTCCCACATGGGCCAGTGAGCTGCACCCGAGCTGAGCTACCAACAGGTGGCAGGATAGCTCAATGGTTAGAGTGTGCACTCTTAGTAACAAGGTTTCAGGTTTGACTCCTGCATGGATAGTGGGCTACGCCCACCCACAACTAAGATTGAACACGGCACCTTGAGCTGCCGTGGAGCCACCAGATGGCAACTGGACTTGGAGCTGAGCTAGCTGTGCCCTCCACAACGAAGATTGAAGGACAACAACTTGGCTGTTCCCCTTCCCCAACTTCCCAATAAAATTTTTAAAAGAAAAAAATTAAAATCTTTTTTCCCTCATCAGAGGAAGACCTGGTTTTTCAGATAACTTGCTCAGCTGACCTAAGGCTTTTTATTCTAAGCCTTAGGAACTAACGTGTCCTCAAATGATAATTTTGTATCACTGGCTATAATTTGTCCTGTGGAGAGAGACTATGTCAGACTTGACACCATGAGCATAGCTACAACAGCTCGGTCCGTAGCTATAAGGCATTCACTGCCAGCACTGAGGTGAAGCCTCTTCCCAATGGTGAAGTCCATGGTCAGTCCACGTCATAGCTTTCTCAGCATTGTAGGTGCCACTTGAGTGGGAACTGTGTTCTGGTTGTCTTTATGTGCACATGGCCTGAGGTGAGCAGGCATGCCAGTCCTTTCCTGCGTCCCACCAGACCTCGAGTTAAAAAAGGTAAAAACAAAGGTTGCATCAGCATGTAAATATACTTCTCAAAATGCTTTCATCATCTTATGCCATTATATATGTGTAAGATTAGTATTGTTGGAGGCATTGGGACTGTGAATTATTATTATAATTGTATTTATAACAGTGTTTGGAGTGTATTTGGAGCCTGATAAATATGGGTATTTGGAGCCTGATAAATATGGTTCATTCATGGGTGGCTTTAAAACTCATGGCATGTCTTTTTATTTCTCCACCAAATATACCTTATTTGAAGGTTAAGACAGCTGAAGTCAGTGACCTGTAGATATGAGGTCTTCTGCAGACAATGACATGAGAACTCCATGTAGCCCTGGTTTTCTCCTCTGTGAAATTGGATGATGCTACCCAGACTGCAGTGGGACAGAGAGGAATACTCCAGAGAATGTGAGTGTAAGGAATAAACAAGACAATCAGCTGGTGTGGATGTGGCCACAGCACCTGGTGTGTAGAAGATGCTTTACTAGGATAGGAGCTTCTTTATCTGCGTAATGTGTTGAAATGTGAAACTTTGTGTACTCCTGCTTTTATATCTTTTGTCTTCAGTATTTAAAAAAAGAAGCAAGAAACTCTCCAGGGGAAAATAAAACCCACCTCAGGATTGTTACATCAATAATCTTTATGAGAGATGTTCACTTGTCGAGTTATCTCCATGATAGAACAAATGGATGCTGCATCACTGCAAATAATGAGGTGACCATCCTGGCAATGAATTGAGGGAAAGAATGATCCTTTACTGTGGTCTAGTGACACTGTGCTTATTTAGAAACCATTGGATGCTGGCTTGTGGCAGAAGTTTGGTTTTGTTCAAGTCTCTGGTCAGAAACCTGACATAGTTTGTTGATGTTGCTGTTTACAGCTGCAACCTGCTCTCCTCTGTTGTTGGAGGGTTTTCTTCATTTAGGAAGGAATAGTAATTGGAGTATAAAATCCCCCAGAGGAACGTGTACCCAGCTTTTTGCATGGATCATTGGCTGAGGTTTGAAAAGTGGTCTGCGTTGAGCTCTGACTGGGAAAGCTAAAGGTGGCAGGCAAGCAGGAGTCTGTCATGAAAGGGGAGGCCTGGGCACCTCCTCCTCCGTGGAATGAGGAAAGGGAAGCCTGAGGATGTGTGCCTCCCTGGAGAAAAGTATATAGTTGATGAAGCTGCCTTCACATCTTCCAGGCTTTCCACTTCTGGAAAGTTCTGGTTGTGAGAGAGAAATCAATGCCAAGAGGCTGGTCAGTGAAATAAAATCCACTGAGAAGCAGCCCATCTTACAATGTTTGCGGGGATGCGGATGGAGGGTGGGGGGTGGGGGGGAGTTAGGCAACACGTTTTGGGGAGGTCTGTGCTCACCTTCGTCTTGATAGAAGTCTGGAGTCAAGGCCGACCCTGTTTATTCTAGAGGAGGACTGCAGTTTGGGTTATGGGAAAGACTTTTCTGGGTGTGAAAATGTCTTCTATGGGAGTGCTGGCAGGAGAATGGGAAGAAGTAAATAAGCATTGTGGAAAATGCAATTAGGTCATGGGATCACAAACTGTGGAGGTGGTTCAACATCACTGCATCTTGTGTGAACACAGGCCAGGCACAGACCAGATGCACTTAGATTTACCTACACAAAAGAGTCAGGAACCAACAACAACCAGCACTGCAGTTCCCTTTGCATCTCAATGGGCTGTACAAGGAGGGGTTTCCAGCCGTTGCTTCCTTCCAGTTCTAGCATTCTGATACTGGATACCGTTTAACATAAAACCCAGTTTGAAAGCTAGGCTTGCCCAACGATGGATTTTCTAGGGGGGATTTTTATCCTTTGCATTTGTAATTACAATGTTTGTTTTGCGTGTTTGCGGTGCAAATACTGGGCGGTTCCTAGACATGTGTTTGAGTGTTCATAACAGTATATAAGGTAGGTGGGTAAAGTGTGTACAGCAGGCCGTAGAACACTTGCCACAGAGTACCTGCTGAGGTGTCCGGACCACGTCCTTTATGAACAGTTTGCACATACACAAAAGGGCCTATGGGCCGGAGCTGGCGCGGGATATGCCCAGTACTGGTGCTGGGTGCCGGAAGGATGGGCCCGGCGGTAACAAGAATCAATATATATTTACGGTGGGGGAGGGGGGGAGGGGATTGCGCGGAGGCTGCAGGGCGGGGCAGCGCTAAAGAGAGCGAGCCCGGCTTGTGGTTGGTTCCAGAGTCTGGTACCCACAGAAGGAGCAGGCTAGGAGGGAGGGGATGCGGACGGCAGGATAAAGCGATGGAGAGTACTGCATTACCGTTCTTCAGGAGCCGTTGTTGGAGCCGAAATACAGCGCTTCTCTGACCCAGCCGGCCCTCACCGAGCTGCGTACGCCCCTCCGTCGTGGCGGTGGTCACCGCTCGCCCGGAGCACCCGGAGCGCGGCGGTAACGAGTGGGCGCCCCAGTCCCCCTCGCAGGTCTCGGTCGCCCGGCGCGCCCTGTAGGGCACGCACGCCCCGCCGGCTCTCATCTACGCGCCGACAGGAGCATGATTTATGCCCAGGCCGAGGCTGCCAAGGTAAGCGGGCGCCTGGCGGGGACTCTGCCTGCTGCCCCCTTCCTTTCCCTTCTCTGGGCGGCTTTCCCGCTTCTCCCGAGGCCCTGGCAGCGCCTTATCAGGGCCGGGAATCCACCCTCCTCTCCACCCTCTCGCTTCTCCCGCGAGGTTCAATTGTCAGCCTGGGGCGCGCTGCAGCCAGGATCCTGCAGGCATCCCCAGTGCGACCCCCGCTCGGGTACAGCAGGCACACCCGGCCCTTTAGTGAGCACAGAGAGGAACAAAGAAGCCCCCAAGAGGGTTTGCAGCGCCTCCCCCACCCCCGGCGCCCTTCCAGTGACGGAGAGGTGTCAGGGGAGGGGGCGGAGAAACCTACGTAATCCCCTGTCCCAGCCCACACCCACCCCTTGTGAACCAAAGCTGTAGATCTGGGTTTCGCCTTGGGCCCGCTTTTAGACAATTGTATCCCAATCAATTCCTGTGGCTAGCTGAGCGAGCGCCCACAGCCCCCGCACAAGCTCGCCGCGGGTGCTAGCTCAGGAGGCGCGTGGAAAATTCGGCTCTGCCTCCCCTGGGGGTGGCAGGCGCCGAGATGCTCCGTGTGGGTGCTCCTCCAGCGCCTCCCTGTCCCCGGCTGGTTGCGCCGTTCAGCCGAGCCTGCCACCTGAGTTTTAGCGGGAGCAGCCGGTCCTGTCGCCTACCGTACTGCGATCTGCACACAGGCTGAGAGGAAGCCGCTGGGGAAAACGCGCCTGGTCCATTTTTGGCTGGAGGTGCGCTTTCTCCTCCCCCTACATTGCTGGGCTGTGACAATGCAGCAAAATCCGGGGGCTCAAACAATGTGGCCCCCTCCTCCTGATTGCTCTGCAGTTTGACGTCCCGGCCACTTTGGCCCATTTGCGGAGTCTGTCTTGCATACAGAGCCTGAGCACCATAACTTCTCTGCCAAATGTCTGAGCGTGGCCGGGGTCGGGGTTGGGGGTGGGGGAGGGATGGGGAAGGAGAGCTGGCAGGGACACAGGCTGCAGAGATGCCCGGCTTCCTGTGGTTCCCGGCACAGCGTGCCCCAGTATGCACTGGGCCAACACCAGGTAGCATGCGAGGGTTTTCCTAATTGCTGAATATTATTTGACGTTGCTGTAGTTTTGTGCTTACTTTTCTTGGGATCTGCAGTAGTGCAATTCTCCCCTTGTTTTTATTTTTTCTCTTTGAAAAGATAACATGCTGTCTTCAGCAGAAATGGATATAGGAAGATAAGCATAGTTCAAAGACTAAGGAAAGAATCTTCTTTCTCTCCCTGGGATTTGAGCGCTATTTAGGAGGGCAGATGCCCTACCAAAAAAGCCAGCCTCTAAAGACCCCAGCAGTGTCGTCCAGGGAGGCTCAAAGCAGGTGGCCAGATCTGCGTTTCTCATCAGTGGATTCGCTCCGGCTTTGACTATTAACGGTAATTCGTTCTAGATCGGGGATTCATTTTGAAAATGTGTGTTGTTTGCTAAGAAGGGATTAGAGTCCCATGCCACCATGGTATGGACTGTGTGCCCATTTGGTAGACAAATCAAGGGTGGTAGAATTCCCTGCTGTCCCTTCTTTCTGTTTGATACCTCTTCTGGCATGTGGCATTGGAAAAACATAGCGTTATTTTAGTTCCTAGACCTACATGACTTCAGAATGTTTACTTGAATAAACCATGTTCTGACCAATTCTGGAGTCCTTGTCTAGTAGTACCGTTGGCAGCTTTGTGCAATTGACAGTCTTTTTTTTTCTTCTTTTGTCTAGGGGAGTAATTTCATGAAGGCAAATTGCCTAAGTTGTTTCAGATGGTGACATTATTGACTTGGTAGGGAGATCACATCCTAAGCTGAAAAGCCTGTCAATGCATCAGTATGGGATTGAAGCTGCTGTGATCTGTTTGCATAGCATAATTTGATTCCTTTTACACCTCTGGTTTTTAAAGATGGGTGTTTTAAAAGATAATTTTAAGCTTTACCTTTTATGATGCTTGCATTAGGTATGACTATTATTACAGGAAATGCTAAAAGACCAGATGTGGTCATGGGAAGACAAGCTCAGCGCGTCCTCTCTTCCTTATCTGTAAAGTGAGCAAGTTGGACTACCTGATTTCTACGGTTACTTTCAGTTCCAACATTGTGTGATAATGGTAGAAGAGTAAGAAAAGTTACTCAGTTTAGCAAAGCAAATGGTCATAGCCCTAACTATATAAGCAAACCAGAGATTGATTCTAGAATTTATGGTTTATTTTTATACCTGCAGTCTTTTTAACCCCAGTATCTGCGTTTTTCTCATAAATTAAATTATCCAAAAACTCAAACAGCTCATTTTTTCCCCCACTATAGCAAAAGATTTTGTGGGGGTTGAGGGAGAGAGAAAAAGATCGAATTAATAGGATAACAGGTTTTCTCTTTATTTGTGGATTAGTATCTATTCCAGCCCCATCTTTTGTGGATAATCAAGAAGATAGCTTATTTCCAATGATTTTTGTTTTGCTTTGTTTTGAATGAAAGACTCTAGCTAGCTGTTTCATCCTACACAGTAATTGGCAATAGTGTCTGACTTCCTTTCCCTGATAGAATTTGCTATTGCTCATAAAACTGGCTAGTACTTTGCTTGTTATAAAAATGAGTGAGGCAACATTTATACTAAACAGGTAAGCAAAGTGTTTTCATGTGCTTATAGTAATTTGTACAATTTAGGGATAGTCGAGATATTGGGTCATTGGTTTATGCTTATCCACATAGTTTTCTACAGTAGTGTGCTAGTTTTTTTATTTGTTTGTTTTGTTTTTTTAAGTTACAATCAACATAACATCCTGAATAACAGCACCTGCTATTATGAATCACTCCCTCTCTTGTTTCCCCATAGCACTTTAGTCCATACCACTAAGGGAGCACTTACTATATTGCAGTTATATGAGTTGTCTCATATATGGTATGAGTGCCTTGATGACAAAGACATTGTTAGATTTACCTCTCATTTCTGCAGCACACTGGTCCATGGTATGTTCTCAGCAATGTTGATTGAGTGGATTTCAGGACATAAAAATACCATCTACTTGTTTAGGCAGGAGGTAGATGGGAATTCTTCTCTTGGTTATGTAAGACGCTGAGGAGAACTGGCAAGACAGTTCTTCCACTACACTGCTTCTGAGAGAGGCTGTACCCTGACCTCAGTAGAAAATGAGGCAGACTGCAAGTCAAATGCTGCAGGTTTGGGTCCTTTACTTTTTACTTGAATGACCTATATTGTCCATTTTGGTAAAATTGATCTGATATCTGCTCTGTTCTGTCTTGCTGTGGCCTTAGAAGGAAACTCGTTTAGCCCAAGCGCTCTGTCCTCTAACCTGCACTTAGGCAGGAATGGTGAACGCCCGTGTGCTGTCCTCCTCTCCAAATGCTTCTGAAACAACCCAGCAGTTCCACCAGAGACAGCCATCATTCCTGGCCAGCCCACCCTGGTGGAGTTGCCCAACAGACAGATTTCTGTGCTAACAGGTGTAACTTATAGACTGAGAGACGCCTGCTTCTTTCCCTTCACCTCCTTCCTTTCTATCTTAAAAAATAGGACAGGTGACCTTTAGGAAACCAGGAAGTTCAGTACCCACATGCCCTTTCTGTAATGCAGCCCTAGGCATGTTTATGTTCACAGCTTTGTAGGGAAAACAGTGTGAAATGCTCAGTGTAGCTTTTTTCAAGTCACTTTTCCTCTCAATTTTCACATAATAGAGAGGTTTAGTTTCTTCTTCTTTAAAAGTGGGGAGTTGAACCAGGTAATCCCAAAAGTCACTTCTAACACCAGGATTCTTTGATTGTTGTTAATGGTTTATTTAATTGAGCCAATTGAAGGGTAAAATATATTAGTGATAATTTAACTTGTCTATATATGTATGTGTGTGTGTGTATCTATATCTGTATGTCTAAAACTGTATCATCTATATCATCTGTATGTATATATGTATGTATGTATGTATGTATATATGTATCTATCTATCTATCTGTCAATCATCTATCTAGTAGAACTAATTAAGTCTGTGTATGTCAGGCCCTGGGTTATCTAATAATCAATTTGGGTTCCCTGTTAATGCTATTCTCTACAAATATAGTAATTTTTTCTTATTTGTAAAACTAGGAAAAGGTTTGTGACATTTCATGTTTCAAAAAACATACAATCCCCACTCCTATATAAACTGTTTAGAATTTTAGGGTTTGAGAGGCAAGCCTCCAAAATATATAGTAAAGCATTTTTATTCACACCATGAGTGTGTTCACAGCTGAATAACTGGAAGTGAAAAGTGTTCCCTGAGATTCATTCAACAATGTCCCTTTCCATTTCTTTCTGCTTCTTCATTTTTCTCTCTCTTTTTTTTTTGCCCCTTCCTTCATTCTGTTGACCTCTTGTCACATTCATAAAACACATGCCACTAGTATCACTGTCCACCCCCCCCAACCCTGCCCCACTAAATGCAGGAGTCAGAGCCTCATAACTTTCTTACTTGTCTCAACCTTTTCTACTTTCTTCATGAGCATTGTTTCTTAAGTTATATGTGAGGTTTAGAGACATACTGGTTCATCTGATGATTTTGTGTATAGTAGACATGTATTTCTCATCAGCTTTCTTACCACCAGACATTTGTGTGTTAAAGTCTTCTTAAATATTTTAGGAGACAAAATGGCATACAGGTGATTTACATATCCCATACCATAATGTTTGCATGTGTGGGTGTTGGTAAGTGGTTGTCATAATCTGTGGCATGGGCGCTGTAGGGAAAGTGAGTGGTAGGTGCAGGATGTCACTGCTTATTAGCAAGATATTGCAAAGACCACTAAGCTCCCAGGTCACTGGAAAAAAATCTGGATTTCCATAGCAACAAGTGATGTGTGCCATTCATATTATTAATTCAGAACCCATGCTTTCCCTGATTCATTGGCCCAAAGCTTGATGCACACAGAGAGCTCATAAATAAAGATATAGTGTACAGGGAGGCTCTTCTGGTCTTATCAGGCATATATTGAATTGCAGTATTTTTTGGAGAATTCAGTGGATGGAACTTAAAGCCACTTTTAGGGTGGGGGGAGGTGGGGAGAGCTGGAAAAGGGTGCCATCTGTACCCATGATGAAGAATACTATCATGGGGACTTCATGTGGAGTCCCTTTTATATATTTAGTGGAACAGATTTTCTTTTTCACACTTTCTAGATCTATTTGTATTACACAGATGTCAGGGAAATACCACATGTGTTAAAGGGGAAAGAAAAGACCAAAGTTCATATCCATGGCCAGGGATTGTAATCTAATCACTTTGC